GAGGCCCAAGGTGTGGCCGTCTAGAAGGCAATGGCCTTGACATCGGAGGCGCACAAAGTGCTGCCCAGGAGGAGACGCCCCAGACCAACCTGCCTGCCAGGGGTGTCCACGATTCGTGAGCGGGAGAGAAAATCTGTAAGGTTTTGATGAGTAGATTCTACTCCCCTATAGGACCCTACAAAGACGACAGGTGATTCCTGGGTACAGAGGAGCGAGGACACAAAAAAAATAAGTAGCACTGAGGGGAGCACCGGTGAACTTGGGGAAGGCTCCGCGTCCGCACCTGTCCTCGCACGTGCGGCGCATCCCGGCCCCCGCGAGGCGCTGGCGGGGTGCAGGGCTCCCCACGTTCCCACAGCGCCTACCGGTTGGACGCACGAGGAGAAAGTATTTCCTTCGGAAAGTACTTCCCTTGGGTCGTAACCTGCGGAACCCCACGTTTGCAGGTTGAACGTGTTCCCTCTGCTGGTTCTTCCAGCCCCTTCCCGCGTCGAAAAGAGCCGCGAGCCCCGTGCCAGAGCTGGACAACCGGAAACACCCGGGAAAGAGCTTCCCCGCCAGGCGGACCCCACCCGCAGTCCGGCGCCCGTCACCGGAACCCGGAATCCCGGCGCGCCCCACGGCCCGGCCCACGCCCGCTCGCCCCGCGCCGCCGCCCCGGGGAGAACAGCGCAGCGCCGGGAGGCGGAGCCAGTGCTGCCGCGGGATCCGACCGCGTCCGGTCGCCATGGAGACCAGGCAGGGACCGCCCGCAGCGCGGCGGCTGAAATGTGGCGCCTCCCGGCGCGCGTGCGCGTACCGTCGGGCTCCCCGCCGCAGACACCGCCGCCTTAACACTGACTGCTGGAACGGCATTCTAGAAACTTCCGGGTCCCGGCTTCTTGCGCCGAGAAAGCCAAGGACACCAGCCGGCAAGCCCGCCGCGTGGAGATGAGGACACTCGCGCCTCCTTTGTAGGGACCTCGCTCATCTCCGCTTGCTGGCTCTTTATTGTCTGGAGAACTGAACCGTAAAAACACTCATTTGCCCATCAGGAATGGCAAAGCCACAGGCAGACGGAGAATTTCCCAGTTTGCACACTGCTCTCCAGAAGGGCCACGAAAACATGCAGTCTGTGACTGCCATTTTGATTCTTTCAAGCTCTCCTCCTACCACGCCGGAATCCAGCCCCGCCTTCCTGCTGCGTCAAGGTCTTGCGGCGCATGCGCAGGCAGCCCGCGCCGAGGCGTCTGGGAGCTGTGGCGCCGTCGCCTTGCATTGTGGGAAACGTAGGCCCTTGCGCTCCCCTCAGCGCGGCGACTCAGTCAGGGGCGAGGTCACCGAACTCCCGGCTTTGAAATTTAAAGCCACTTGAGACTTAAGAATTTGTTCCTTCAACTGTTGAAATGCCTCGTCTCCACGGTATATGCCTTTTGGTTCTGGCCAGGCCACTGCCAGCTCTTTACAGACAAGCGGAGGGCGCCTTCGGTAGAGTTGTTTTATTCGGATCCCAAACGCGCGCCATCCGGAGAGCGAGCGCGGACGCGGCGGACGCGGCGGACGCGGCGGACGCTGGAGGGGACGTCTGCACTTAAAGATCGCGACGGTAACTTTCTACTGTATAATTTTCACACGTGATATTCGTCCTCTACGTGCTGCGAGCTCCCCGGTCCAAATCTCCGGAGGGTTCTGCGCTCGGTTTTATTCGCACGTAGGCGGGTGAGTGACCCTGCGCGTCCCGACGGGGGACAGGAGGGAGGGACACGCGGGTGGGGCGCAGGGTTTCAGGGCCGTGAAGCTGCTCTGGGTGGCGGCGCGCGGGTGCACGTGTGTTACGGGGGTCTGTGCCAGCCTGCAGAACGTCCCCAAGAGTGGGCGCCCGCGCGGGCCGATGTGGCCGATGCCCCCTCTGCGGGGGCGGCGTGGGGCGGGGCGCAGGGGAGCTCGACCTTCCCCCAGTTTGCCGTGAAGCTGAATGGCCTAAAAGAATAAAGTCTATTAAAGTCCAGCTGGGCGTTAGACATGAAAGGAGCTTAAACTCACAAATCGCTGAGTAATTGCAACTTAAAACCAGAAATAAGAGGACTGACTCCCAGGAGTGTGGAAAGGACGTGCACTAACCTCTGCACGGGGACACCCAGGTGAGCGTCAGTGGGGGCTGATGCAGAGCTGACTGTGCCCCAGGAGGCAACCTGGGGGGTCTTGGCTTGTGTGATTCCATTTGCTGACGTAGCAGAGAACTGCTTCCCCTGGAACGAGCCCATGTGCAGGCCTTTTTCAGGACTTTAGTGCGCAGACCCCGGTCCTCAGCGTGCACACCCTGGTCCTCAGCGTGCACACCCTGGTCCTTCAGTCTGCACACCCCGGTCCTCAGCATGCACACCCTGGTCCTCAGTCTGCACACCCTGGTCCTTAGCATACACACCCTGGTCCTCAGTCTGCACACCCCGGTCCTCAGCATGCACACCCTGGTCCTCAGTCTGCACACCCTGGTCCTTAGCATACACACCCTGGTCCTCAGTCTGCACACCCCGGTCCTCAGCGTGCACACCCTGGTCCTCAGTCTGCACACCCTGGTCCTCAGTCTGCACACCCTGGTCCTCAGCATACACAACCTGGTCCTCAGCGTGCACACCCCGGTCCTCAGTCTGCACACCCTGGTCCTCAGTCTGCACACCCTGGTCCTCAGTCTGCACACCCTGGTCCTCAGTCTGCACACCCTGGTCCTCAGTCCTCAGTCTGCACACCCTGGTCCTCAGTCTGCACACCCTGGGTCCTCACTGTGCACACCCTGGTCCTCAGTCTGCACACCCTGGGTCCTCACTGTGCACACCCTGGTCCTCAGTCTGCACACCCTGGGTCCTCACTGTGCACACCCTGGTCCTCAGTCTGCACACCCTGGTCCTCAGTCTGCACACCCCGGTCCTCAGCGTGCACACCCTGGTCCTCAGTCTGCACACCCTGGTCCTCACTGTGCACACCCTGCTCCTGGGTGTGCCCACCCTGGTCCTCAGTGTGCTCACGTCCTCCCTCACCATTTTGAGCACATGTAAGCTATTTTATAGTGTGTATCTAGTAAGTTTGCCACCTGGTCTTCCTTAGGAACAGTTTCTGTCAACTTAGTTTTCCTTTAATGGGCCGTGCCTTCCTATTTCTTTGTTAGCCTTATCATTTTTTGTTAAAACTCATTATTTGGATTTCATGTGGTGACTCTGGAAATCATATTCCTCCCCTTCCCAAGGATTTGCTAGTTTGGTTTTATTGTTTTAGTGTCTGTGCCAGAGATCGTCTGACGCTAAACGTCAGGTCTTCTCAGGTCTTTCCCAAGCATGTGCCCTGCCCTGGACATGTGCGGTGACTTTCTAAATTTACCTGAACATGCAGTTGCTTTTGAAAATCCTATCATTAAATGTCTGGCCTCCAATGGGGAAAAAAAGAAAAATACATGGGAAAAACCAACCAACCAACCAACCAAAAGGCATTGGCTCTTTATGTTCCCTTAAACCTGTTCAGCTGGTGGGGGTCTGCAACAATAGTGCTCCATCTGTCTGCAGCTCCCCCATAAGCAGCAGCAATTGATAATCAGCACACACCTCCCCAGACTTGAAGGATGAGGTCCTTTGTGCTTCCTCTAACCCCCACAAGCAGCTGCTGAAATGCAGGTGCCTGTCACGGGGCTGGGAGTCGAGGGACAGGGAGGCACCACTATTGCCAGGGGCTGAAACTAAATGAAATTTACCAGCCAACCCTTTCTCTGTAAGTTGAAAGTCTCTGAATAGACTCAATTCCAGAGTAGTTTCTATGCAAAGATTCTATCAACTGTCGTCCAGATGGAGAGACGGATTCCTGGAACTTCCTACTCTACCACGTCCCCTGACATCACCTGGGTTTGAGTACCTCTTAACAGAACCCTTTCCAGCATGTATGTACAGATGAAAATGTTCACATATATACATATCTATGGATTAATATACATGTGAAAATTTTACTTTATGTCCCCAAGTGCAATACATAATAAACACACTTATGTGCAAAAAGAAAAGCCTTGAATTACATTGCAAAAAGGACAGGAGACGGGCACAGGCAGGTGTGCTCTGAAAGTGCTCCAGGTGGCAGCAGAGGGGACCTTCTAAGCGAGCGTCTCTGTTTTTACCTACGTATATGATACAAAGTGGTAACAACAGTGCCGTTCTGTGGTCAAGAAGTGATGCTTTCAGCCTTTGATGTTCTAGCATGTGCTAGTCTGTGACATTACAGTGTTGGGGATTTGAGTTTACGTGCACTGACAACTTCATCCTTCCCAGGAGGTGCTTTTGTGGTGGTTTTTGTGCTACTGAACATGCAATTTTCAACACTGGACCACTGAAATGAACATCCACATTTAACTGCTGTAATGCCTTAGGCCACATTTTATTCTGGTATTTTTGCCTTAAAGACAAAAAAAGAAATGTGGGTTTTTTTCATTTGGCCCAATCAACAGATTTGTAAGTAAACCAAAAAAAGAGCCAAATAAATCAAAACTTTCTTCTGGAGGTTTATTTTGGATATAATAAAGAGACACTACAGTAAGACACATACAAAAAGATGAGAAAATAATTTAATAGAGTATTTTAAGCGTGGGGTTGACACACTCACAAACCCGCCCCCCTCCCAAGCCTGCAGCCTTCCGCCACATCCACAGTGGAGATGTTTTCTTCACAAAAAGGACTATTCGTGTGTGAGGAACCAAAGTTCCCTCTTTGGAGAAAACTGAGGTTCTTCTCCATCAAAAACAACAGTCATTCATCCCAATAAATCATCCCAGTTCTGCAAATCTGAAGCAATCAATACTCCATGGAATGCGGAATCACCGTCTACTAAAGTACCTGTAATATTACGCAGTGACCAAAACTTCCCACGTCTATAGGGTTAACCAGTTTTCAGCAAAGCAACAAGTGCTTCAGTTACATTGTTTTCCAGCTCATAGGTTACAGCTCCAACTTATGAAACACCAGACCAAACCATGACATGAGCGGCAGCCGCTCCGCTGCGAGTGCTGGCGGGACGCTACCTCCTGTCCTTTTTCCCAGCTTTCCTCTTCCCGGAGAGCAAGTGCTTGGGCTTCATGTCAAACACGTGCCTGTCTGCCTCCCCCTTCCGCCCCAGGCGATTCATCTTCCTCTGCGCTTTCTTCATCATCGTCTTGGCCTTCTTCACCATCT